GTGTGGTCTTGCTGGGGTGGGGTCGTGCTGGGGTGTGATCGTGCTGGGGTGGGGTCGTGCTGGGGTGTGGTCGTGCTGGGGTGTGGTCGTGCTAGGGTGGGGTCGTGCTGGGGTGGGGTCGTGCTGGGGAGTGGTCGTGCTGGGGTGTGGTCGTGCTGGGGTGTGGTCATGCTGGGGCGTGGTCGTGCTGGGGTGGGGTCGTGCTGGGGTGGGGTCGTGCTGGGGTGGGTTCGTGCTGGGGTGCTCCGCACCCTGTGATTTATCGATCGGGTCGTGCTGGGGTGTGGTCGTGCTGGGGTGTGGTCGTGCTGGGTGTGGTCGTGCTGGGGTGTGGTCGTGCTGGGGTGTGGTCGTGCTAGGGTGGGGTCGTGCTGGGGTGGTCGTGCTGGGGTGTGGTCGTGCTGGGGTAGTGGTCGTGCTGGGGGTGTGCTGGGGTGTGGTCGTGGTCTGGTGGTGGTCGTGCTGGGGCGTGGTCGTGCTGGGGCGTGGTCGTGCTGGGGCGTGGTCGTGCTGGGGTGTGGTCGTGCTGTGGTGAGGTCGTGCTGGGGTGTGGTCGTGCTGGGGTGTGGTCTTGCTGGGGTAGGGTCGTGCTGGGGTCGGGTCGTGCTGGGGTGTGGTCGTGCTGGGGTATGGTCGTGCTGGGGTGGGGTCGTGCTGGGGTGGGGTCGTGCTGGGGTCTGGTCGTGCTGGGGTGTGGTCGTGCTGGGGTATGGTCGTGCTAGGGTGGGGTCGTGCATTTCGCTCGAGACATCCTGCCAAAATTCCAGGAAATCGTACAAAAACAAAGGAATTAGTCGAGACATCATCGAAATTCCTTCGCGCGGGGCGCTTTTCCGCGTCGCGGTCGGCTCTGCAAAACAAGCGTTTCGCTCGAGACATCCTCGGCAAACTCTGCGGAGCAAGCGTTTCGCTCGAGACATCCTCAACACACGAAAAAGTGGCCCGCACCCTGTGATTTATCGATCGGGATTTCAAAAACAAGCGTTTCGCTCGAGACATCCTCAAATTTTAATTCGCCGGCCTCCTTCGACCTCGTTATTTATCAGGGAAAAAAATCGCCGGCCTCCCTCAAGTTGGCACCGGGGGACAGGTTTACCTACTAAAAGAGAACCCTGGGCCCATGCCCTTTCCGGGAATAAAAACTGCCCCAAGAACGCAAACATATGCAACAACTATTGTTCTGCTATCTTTGAATATTCCTCCTGTAGAGGGACAGGCCTGACTCATGCGTTGCCGCTGGTCGCCATCGACGTTCGCTCGCCGTCGCCCCTGGCGCTCTCGCGCGGGACTCTCGCACCACCAGGCGTGCTGGGGCCCCCCGCCAGGGGCCCTCCGCACTGGCGTCACGGGTCGGAGAAGAAGCTGAAATAGGAGCTCAAAGAGAACTCACAAGAGTGCCCAAGAGATAGGTCGGGATTTGGGGCGAAAAATTACTAATACCCAGATCGTCCCCATACTATTTCTCGACCATGTTTGAATGGTCCTCCTGTAGAGGGGCAGGCCCGACTTAACCCGAGAGGCGAAAGCCATGTATGCTCAATCAGTGTTCTGTCTTTCGCGTCCTCGCCTTCTCGTCGTCGTCGCCGTCGCCGTCGCCATCGCCGTCCCCCTTCAGGGTCAGCGGGGCACCAAGCGCAATACCTTCGCAATTGGAGAGGCGGCGAAGAGGGCGGCGAGGGCGCGGAAAAACCGGACGGGCGAAGAGCCGACCGTCGCACTCAGGCGACCCTGGGAGGAGCCAGTCCGGACTCCAGACAGGAACCTCCGCATCCCCTCTCAAGGAGGGGGGATACGACGACGACAACGACGCAACAGAGTAAGAGGTGGGGATGGCGGGTGGACGGAGACGCCCGTGACCGGAGCTGGGCGCCGTAATGACCGGCGGACATGTCGTAGGGCTCGAATGAGGGCTGAACATGCGGCGGTGCCAGACTTATGCCTGGAGGCTCGAAGGACGCGGTCTTTGGGCTAAAATCGAGGAAGGGAAGAGGAGGAGGAGTGCAAGGATGATGAGAAAGGAGGCGGAAGGAAGAAATGGAAGGAGAGGGAGGGGAAGGGGGGGAGGGCGACGGGGAGAAGGGCGAGGTCGAGGAGTGGGAGGGGAGGGCGGCGAAGGTGGAAGGGGGCGGGGAGGAGCGTCAGATGGCTGCCAGCTATCCTTGCGACTGTGGCACTCTCTCCGATCTTCTGCCCACCTCTCTCTCTCTCGAGCTTCCCATTCCCCCCTGCTGTTTGCGACGGGAATGGGCAACCACACGTGACCACACAAGAAAAAGACTGAGGCTCGGAGTAAAAAGGATGCCTGCAGCCAAGTGTACCCCTGCGGGTGTCCGATACACTTCGCGGCGAGTGGACCCGAAGGGGTAGGGCTTGCTAGTGGTCGCAGAGAGGAGGCCCGAAGCCTTCCTCCGGCGGAGCAGAGCCGAACTGAACCCCGAGGCTCCTAGGGGCAAGACCGAGGCACGCTCCTTCTCCTTCGCGTCCGTCTCCTTGTTTTCCTGGGGAGGGGAGTCACCAAACACCACTGCAGCCTATTAATTGTCCGTCCTGGGAAAGAGATACCATCCGTACTTTACAAGGTGGTTTTAGCCCAGGCGTATCGCACCCTTATCCAGGCGGAGTGCGACGTTTGCTGGCGTGTGGCACCTTTTCCTTGTGCCCGCTCTGTCTAGGACGGCCATAGTATTCAGAGCCCTGCAGCTCATTGCTTTCGCTGGCAAAACATTATTATCCTGGCCGCACGCCCGGGAGGACGGCCACGCCGACGCTGGGCAGCGCTCGCCACAACGCTTCGCGAGGAGGCGTGGGAAGGAGGCGTACGAGAAAAAGGAGGAGGACGACGAGGGGGAGGACGAGGAGGAGGGAGGAGGAGGAAGAGGAAGAGGAAGAGGAGGAGGAGGAGGAGGAGGAGGAGGAGGAGGATTATTTCGGGAGGAGGAGAAAGAGGAGGAGGAAAAGGAAGAGGAGGAGGAAGAGGAGTACAAGGATCGGGGAATGAGGAGGAGGAGGAGAAGGAGGAGGAGGAGGAGGAAGAGGCGGAGGAGAAGGAGAAGCAGAAGGAGGAGGAGGACCAACGTAAACCCAAGAGTCATCAACGATGTTGGAATAAACCCTCCCTCTAAGCTCCCTCTTCATAGGCCCTACAAGGATTCATTCCCACTGAAGGAATTGCCTCGTTGAAGACAACTGGTTGAAGACACTGAAGCATGCCAAACATTATTCTCGGGACTCCAACGCCACGGATCAACCTGACTGTTGCGCCTTGACGATTGTGAATCGTGTCAGAGCGCTATTCCTTGGACTTGAACACCGGTTGCATCGTCATAGTCCTGAATCTTTCCAAAACACAAATTCTAATACGTTGGCCATGGGAATCAGTGAAACTCCTGCATTTTTGCATAAACAACGAATGCGCGCGGCAATAAAACGAGAGCCACATTTTGAAAAGGAACCGCCCACAATCCGTGAAACCCTGGCAAAACTTTTAAAAAGTGCGCGGAGCTAATGAGAGAGCCATATTTTGAAAACGGCCCGCCCTCAATCCTTGAAATTCCTGCAGGTAATTAAAGCTCTAAGGACGCCCGGCCCGCCCTTTCGACTGGTCTCGGGGTGCGAAACGAAGAAGTTATTCCCAACCCTCCTGTGTTGGGTTCTCGTTTTGAATAGAGCATTGTGGTCGCCCCGTCCTTCCTCCTCCTCCACTCTCCTCCCCTCCTCCTTCTCTCCTGTTTCCTGTGTTCCCCTCTCCTCCTCTCTCGTGCCGTCGGGCTGCGATCTGTGCCACTGTCGCCACTTTCGTGGGCTCCTGGGAAGCCCAGCGGAGGCACGTCATACGCAGATCACCACGGGACCTCGCCGCCCCTGGGGGGCTGCGATCTGTGCAACTGTCGCCACTTCCGTGGGCTCCTGGGAGGCCCAGCGGAGGTACGTCATACGCAGATCACCTCGAGACCTCGCGGTGCTCTGGGGGGCTTGCGATCTGCGCAACTGTCGCCACTTTCGTGGGCTCCTGGGAGGCCCAGCGGAGGTACGTCATCCGCGGACCACCTCGGGACCTTGCCGCCCCCGTGGGGGGCTTGCGATCTGCGCAACTGTCGCCACTTTTCGTGGGGTCCTGGGAGGCCTAGCGGAGGTACGTCATACGCGGACCACCTCGGGACCTCGCCGCCCCCTGGGGGGCTTGCGATCTGCGCAACTGTCGCCACTTTCGTGGGCTCCCGGGAGGCCCAGCGGAGGTACGTCATACGCGGACCACCTCGGGACCTTGCCACCCCCTGGGGGGCTTGCGATCTGCGCAACTGTCGCCGCTTTCGTGGGCTCATGGGAGGCCTAGCGGAGGTACGTCATACGCGGACCACCTCGGGACCTCGCCGCCCCCAAGGGGGCTTGCGATCTGCGCAACTGTCGCCACTTTTCGTGGGGTCCTGGGAGGCCTAGCGGAGGTACGTCATACGCGGACCACCTCGGGACCTCGCCGCCCCCTGGGGGGCTTGCGATCTGCGCAACTGTCGCCGCTTTCGTGGGCTCATGGGAGGCCTAGCGGAGGTACGTCATACGCGGACCACCTCGGGACCTCGCCGCCCCCTGGGGGGCTTGCGATCTGCGCAACTGTCGCCACTTTCGTGGGATCCCGGGAGGCCCAGCGGAGGTACGTCATGCGCGGACCACCTCGGAACCTCGCCGCCCCCTGGGGGATACTTGTCGCCACTTTCGTGGGCTGGGCTACGTCATACGCGGACGGGACCTCGCCAGATCTGCGCAAGTCGCCACGTGGGTCATACGCGGACCACCTCGGGACCTCGCCGCCCCCTGGGGGGGCTTGCGATCTGCGCAACTGTCGCCACTTTCGTTGGGCTCCTGGAGGCCCAGCGGAGGTACGTCATACGCGGACCACCTCGGGACCCCTGGGGCCCCGCAACTGTCGCCACTTTCGTGTGCTCCTGGGAGGCCAGCGGAGGTTGCGGACCATCCTCGCCGCCCCCTGGGGATACTGTCGCCACTTTCGTGGGCTCCTGGGAAGCCCAGCGGAAGTACGTCATACGCGGACCACCTCGGGACCTCGCCGCCCCCTGGGGGGCTTGCGATCTGCGCAACTGTCGCCACTTTCGTGGGCTCCTGGGAGGCCCAGCGGAGGTACGTCATGCGCGGACCACCTCGGGTCCTCGCCGCCCCCTGGGGGATACTTGTCGCCACTTTCGTGGGCTCCTGGGAAGCCCAGCGGAAGTACGTCATGCGCGGACCACCTCGGGACCTCGCCGCCCCCTGGGGGCCTTGCGATCTGCGCAACTGTCGCCACTTTCGTGGGCTCCTGGGAGGCCTAGCGGAGGTACGTCATACGCGGACCACCTCGGGACCTCACCGCCCCCTGGGGGGCTTGCGATCTGCGCAACTGTCGCCACTTTCGTGGGCTCCTGGGAGGCCCAGCGGAGGTATGTCATGCGCGGACCACCTCGGAACCTCGCCGCCCCCTGGGGGATACTTGTCGCCAGGCTTAGCGGAGTGGACGTCCCACGCGGACCACACGGGACCTCGCCGCCCCCTGGGGGGCTTGCGATCTGCGCAACTGTCACCAACTTTCGTGGCTCCTGGGAGGCCCAGCGGAGGTACGTCATGCTGCGGACCACCTCGAGGTCCTCGCCGCCCCCTGGGGGGATACTTGATACTTTGTCGCCACTTTCGTGGGTTCCTGGGAGGCCCAGCGGAGGTGCGTCTTACGCAGATCACTTGGAGGCCTCCCTGTCCCCTGGGGGGCTGCGATCTGCGCAACTGTCGACACTTTCGTGGGCTCCTGAGAGGCCCAGCGGGGGTGCGGCTTACGCAGATCACTTTGAGGCCTCCCTGTCCCCTGCGGGGCTGCGATCTGCGCAACTGTCGCCACTTTCGTGGGTTCCTGGGAGGCCCAGCGGAGGTTCGTCTTACGCAGACCACTTTGAGGCCTCCCTGTCCCCTGGGGGGGCTGCGATCTGCGCAACTGTCGCCACTTCGTGGGCTCCTGGGAGGCCCAGCGGAGGTACGTCTTACGCAGATCACTTTGAGGCCTCCCTGTCCCCTGCGGGGCTGCGATCTGCGCAACTGTCGCCACTTTCGTGGGTTCCTGGGAGGCCCAGCGAGGTACGTCTTACGCAGATCACTTGGAGGCCTCCCTGTCCCCTGCGGGGCTTCGATCTGCGCAACTGTCGCCACTTTCGTGGGTTCCTGGGAGGCCCAGCGGAGGTACGTCTTACGCAGATCACTTTGAGGCCTCCCTGTCCCCTGGGGGGCTGCGATCTGCGCAACTGTCGACACTTCGTGGGCTCCTGGGAGGCCCAGCAGAGGTACGTCTTACGCAGATGACTTTGAGGCCTGCCTGTCCCCTGTGGGGCTGCGATCTGCGCAACCGTCGCCACTTTCGTGGGTTCCTGGGAGGCCCAGCGGAGGTGCGTCTTACGCAGATCACTTGGAGGCCTCCCTGTCCCCTGGGGGGCTGCGATCTGCGCAACTGTCGCCACTTTCGTTGGTTCCTGGGAGGCCCAGCGGAGGTACGTCTTACGCAGACCACCTTGAGGCCTCCCTGTCCCCTGCGGGGCTGCGATCCGCGCAACTGTCGCCACTTTCGTGGGTTCCTGGGAGGCCCAGCGGAGGTGCGTCTTACGCAGACCACTTTGGGGCCTCCCTGTCCCCTTGGCGCACCTGGCGCGCACCTGGCGCACCTGGCGCGCACCTGGCGCGCTGGGCGCACCTGACGCACCTGACGCGCTGGGCGAACCTGGCGCGCACCTGGCGCACCTGGCGCACCTGGCGCGCACCTGGCGCGCATCTGGCGCGCACCTGGCGCGCGCCTGGCGCGCTGGGCCCACCTGACGCACCTGGCGCGCTGGGCGCACCTGGCGCGCACCTGGCGCACCTGGCGCGCTGGGCGCACCTGGCGCACCTGGCGCACCTGGCGCACCTGGCGCACCTGGCGCACCTGGCGCGCACCTGGCGCGCACCTGACGCGCTGGGCGCACCTGGCGCACCTGGCGCGCTGGGAGCACCTGGCGCGCACCTGGTGCACGTGGCGCGGTGGGCGCACCTGACGCACCTGGCACGCCTGGCGCACCTGGCGCACCTGGCGCGACTGGCGCACCTGGCGCACCTGGCGCGCCTGGCGCGCACCTGGCGCACACCTGGCGCACCTGGCGCGCACCTGGCGCACACCTGGCGCACCTGGCGCACCTTGCGCATCTGGCGCGCCTGGCGCACCTGGCACACCTGGCGCACCTGGCGCACCTGGCGCACTTGGCGCGCTAGGCGCACCTGGCGCACACCTGGCGCACGCCTGGCGCACCTGGCTCACTTGGCGCGCCTGGCGCACCTGGCGCACCTGGCGCGCCTGGCGCGCCTGGCGCGCCTGGCGCACCTGGCGCACCTGGCGCGCCTGGCGCCACTGGCGCACCTGGTGCACCTGGCCCACCTGGCGCGCCTGGCGCGCCTGGCGCACCTGGCGTACCTGGCGCAGCTGGCGCACCTCGCACACCTGGC